CTTTCCCTCGGCTTTCTCCGAGATCTTCTTCGAGGAGCGCTTCGAAGGTGATGCATAGCAACAAATGCTCGCGATTCCCTTTTCTTTCCCGAGTCCTTTTTCCGGGAAACGAACATAGATTCGATGTTGTTTCTGAAATGGATTTCTGTCTTTTTTCCTATGTTACCATGACCATCATGTGACAGTTCGTAGATTCCGTTGGTTAGATCTACCTTTTCAGAAAGTGGAGCCAAACCCATGAACATGAGAAGCTTCTAGACTTTCCTTTTATAGATTTGACCTGTAGATTGTGTATGTAATTTATAGATTCTGAGTTTAATGTCTGTGGATGATAATTGATTTGGATGTGTGTGTGTGTGTGTGTGTGTTTTTTTTGTTTATACAAGGTGGGTGGAAAAGCAGATGGGTTTTGTCTGATTGGAAGAAGAGTGAAGGAAAAGCCGGAACCTTCAAGCATACGGCAGGAAAATGGCCCGGAGATCCCGAAGACAAAGGTTCGATTCTTTGAATCTTGCGTTTCAAGCTCTGTTGAAGTCATATAGAGCTTGATCTTTTTCTTTCATTAGCGGGTTTAAAAACTTCATCTCTTCTGATGCAAGTAGAATTCACCAGATGCATTCGTCGAAAAAGCGAAAAACCTCGGATTTTTCAGCATCTCTGGTGCCTAGTTTTGTCCTGTAAAATCTTGAATCTGTTATTGTTTAGTTCTTCAATACGGGGTTAGGAAGCTTACTTGGGGTTAAATGCTGTATTATTCAGGCATTCAGACGTATAACGATGCCAAGCATTATGCGGTATCTGCAAAGATTCTTCCGGAGTTAAGCAACAAGAACAGGACACTGGTGGTCCAATACTCCATCAAGTTCGAACAAGACATTGAGTGCGGCGGCGGTTACATCAAGCTTCTCTCCGGTTATGTCAACCAGAAGCAGTTCGGGGGTGACACTCCTTACAGGTTCGTTATCGCCTTTCGTTTTTTATTAACGATTGGTTCTAGAAGGCCATTGTACATATAGCCGAGCTCTTTTAGTCCTTATTCGTATTTACATGAGATTGTCACAACCAGAACAGTGCTATGTTAAGGCGTTGTTTCAAGTCATATATACGCTTTCTTGAAAACTAGTAAATGCTCGGTTTTTGTATGTTCATGCACGGATTCTCATCGGATCGGTTCATGTTTGAGCTTATAAGAGATTTTTTGGACCTACCCTCATTAGAGTTTCCTTGTTTTTTTATAATGCAGTCTGATGTTTGGACCAGATATATGCGGCACCCAGACGAAGAAGCTTCATGTCATTCTTTCGTATCGGGGACAGAATTACCCCGTCAAGAAAGATTTGCAATGCGAAACTGACAAGCTAACCCATTTTTACACGTTTATTCTCCGGCCTGACGCTTCTTACAGCGTTCTGGTTGATAATAGAGAGAGGGAGTTCGGCAGCATGTACACCGACTGGGACATTCTTCCTCCGAGAAAAATAAAAGATTTGAACGCAAGGAAGGTATATGTTCGCTCTTAGAGTGAATTACATGAAAAGATGTTTCCGGGATTGGAAGAACGCAAAATACTCTATAGTTTTGCAAATTATATGTTGTGCAAGTCTAGAAAAACAAACCGAGGAAAGGGTAAAGCTTTAGTCCGAGTTCTTACTAAGTCTTTCGAGCAAGAATCCGGGATATAGAGTAACATCACATTCTTCTAATATTGCGGTGGAGATTTACTCGGTTTATTTTCCTATTTGCAGCCACTGGATTGGGACGACAAAGAGTATATCAATGACCCCAACGATGTCAAACCCGAGGTAACTTGTTTATGCAATTTGGTAGCCGGAGAAAAAAAATGATACTGATGTAAATCAAAGAAACAGTTTCGTTAGCCATATTTGAATCTTTTTTAAAGATGACTAATTAGGCAAATGGTTCGTTCTTTTCTCTGTATCTCAGGGTTATGATTTGATCCCGCGTGAAATTCCCGATCCAAAAGCGAAGGAGGTTTGTTCTTACCGTTATCTTGGTCACGGTTGTTCCACTGTTCTTACCGTTATCTTGGAATTTTATGTCTATGAAGGGTAAGTATAAATGTCTCGTTCCTCTCTATCTGTTTAGCCCGAGGACTGGGACGAGGAAGAAAACGGTACATGGAAACCTCCCAAGATCCCGAATCCGGTGTACAAAGGTTCTTGGAAAGCTAAGGTAATTGATTTCAGTGGTCAAAATCTCTTTGTTCTTCCATGTCCTACTCAATCACTGATATATTTCATTAAGAATTCTTCTAACGCAGAGAATCAAGAATCCGAACTACAAGGGTAAATGGAAGATTCCATGGACCGATAACCCGGGTATGTTTCTGTTGAACGCGTCTTTTACGATGTTTTGGCCAATAGAAAGTGTCCTCCAGGACCTGTCGATTACTAAACTGGATCTTTCTTGAGTTTCTTCAGAATTTGAGGATGACCCGGATCTCTACGTGATGAAACCGATAAAATACGTGGGTATCGAAGTATGGCAGGTAATTTCGAGCTCTTTCTTAGCTTTCAATATTTGGGTTTCATATACGGTCACTGTCACTATCATTCTCTAAGAACTTGTTAGAATCCCACGTCGGCCAAACATGTGATTGGTCGAGTCCTTATAAGATTATGGATATCGCAGGTGAAGGCCGGTTCTGTCTTCGACAACATCTTGATCTGTGATGACCCGCAATACGCTAGAAGCATCGTGGATGAATATTTCGCCAACTACCGGCAGGTATGGTGATATCTTGATTCCAAGTTCTTTGAGATTAGCCTAATCTACGACGATTTCACATACTTGTTTTCGTAACGATAGAATCATCCAGCCCTTTTTCAGTCTTGACATTGATCTCCATAATCAACGAGCCTCGGGTTTACCATCTGATCTGATTACTATAGACTTCGTAACTAGAATACATTGTTCCATAAAACTGCTATGATATTCATAATAGTGTGGCCCATAAAATGTTAGATTTTCTGCCTGCAATTCTTATATATATTGAACCGCCTGATCAGAGCTTGTATACGCGCATAATGACAGGCCGAGAAGGAGGCATTTGCGGAAGCCGAGAAAGAAAGAAAAGCTCGAGAAGATGAGGTTACGGTTCTTGATTTTGCCAATATACCTTCTTGTTTTCGTTCTCGGGTATTTTCTCTCGGTATGAGAACGTATATGTGTATGTGTGTGCGCGTTTGCGTTTACAGGAAGCTCGGAAAGCGAGAGAAGACGGCGAACGAAGGCGGAGAGAAAGGGATAGCCGATATGGAGACCGGAGACGTTACAAAAGGGTACTCCATCTAAACCACATTTCATCATTTTCCCGGTTCAGTATATTCATTTGTCGTTAACCGGTTCAGATATTCTTGAACCGGAAAGTTCGATATCTCGCTTAAAACTTTTAAAAAGTCGTTTCTTTTTGCAGCACCATCCTCGTGATTACATGGACGATTACCATGTAAGTTCTTCATCTCATTTTTCTTCTCCTAGTTTATTCTGTACTTTTGTACTCCGGTTTTCCAATTAAAAATTGGTACTCGTATTCGGTAACCGGTTAAGGAGTTTTCAATTCCATATATACCCCTAGGATTTGACACAATTAAATGTTTGCCACTTCTTTTTTTTTGGTCATATCTGCAGGACGAACTTTAAGCCGCGGGCTGGCATACCGACCAAATATCAAATTCCGGTTAGATTGGTTCGGTTTAGATCGGTTTAATGGAAACCCTATAGAATCCGAGTATAGAAAGGCTTGCATTCCTCGACTCGGTTCCCAAACGAATGGAAACCGGAAGTCACTTTGTCTTCATGCGATCTGTGTTATAAAACAATTACGATAATGAATGTAATTATTTGTTGAAGTGTCAATTATAAATTTGAATACTTTTAATGTTATTATACATCTTTTCTTTTTGTTCTCTCAATTATAATATGGACGCAAAATTTTATTTTTGTAATATAAAATCGAAAATATAAATAAAATAATATTCTGATTTGGTTTGAGAGAAAAGCCTCAAATATTTATGATTTTATATCAATCATCCCTAAAAAGTTCTAAATACAGCATATAATAACAATTTGTTAATTGCAATATGCATCTCACGGTCCATTTGGAAAGAATTTTACATTTGATTTGTAGTTGTAATTAACCAAGTTACCAACTAGAATCTAATTAACATAAATAAAAAAAAGGATATTTAAACTGAGAGTATATTAAATTGGTTTTTATATTTATAGTTCTAATTCAAAATTTAATATTCTAGTTTAAGGTTTTCGTACCGAAATATTTACTTAACACTCTCGTATTAACACTCAATATTAAAAAAAATTGGATATAAATTAGATATCCAAAAATTCCATTATATCCAAATCTTATTTTATCTACTATAATGAGATTTGTTATGTAAATTCAGATTTATTATTTACGGATATCCCAAAAAGTATTCGAATATCCATAAATATTCATTTGTAAACCAACTATATTATAAAAAAATCGAACAACAGACTGAAAATTCATACCAATAATAATAATAACTATCCGAAAATTGTTTTTCATAATATAACCAAAAAATGTAATTAAAATAGATTGTTAAAATTCAATACCCAAACACGAACTTAAAATTATACCCAATTAATTTAGGATAAATTAGTAAACATGTATATTTTTGTTTATCAAGGAGTGTTTAAATTGCAGGCCTGTATCTGCACTTTTAGTGCAGCAGAAGTGAAGAACGAAACATGGAAACCTTCGGAAAGAAACGGAGGCTTTCAGGTTAAGAGTATACGAGTCGCGCAACTTATTTCTCATTTGGGCTCAAGGGTAGATCGGTGCATTTTAGGCCTTCGTGTTCGTTGGTCGGTTTCTCCAATTCTTTCTTGGCTTTGGCTGTATAGAGCAAAGACGAGGGTGCTCATTTTGGATTCGATTCGGTTATTTGGTTGTAATCATTTAGTTTTTATATTAATTTTAAATTAGTTAAATTCGGTCTTATTGTCGATTCCCTTCTATTCAGTTTTTATTAGTTAAAATGTTATTTTTTCAAAAAACAAATTATCGTTTTTTCAATTATTTTTTATTCAATTTGATTCGATAGAGTTTACATTTTTTTTTTAATTTAGAAAAGCCATATATGTTCGACCGTCTATACACATATATGTGTCCAAATGTTAAATGAAATAATCATAACAACATTCTTGAAACAAGAATCATGGAGTTGCATTAAAGGAGACATTTACCTAATTTAAAAAGTGTACTTAAAAAAAAAACTTTGATGTACCTTTTGGCACTTTGAATGTACGGTTTAAACCACCGAAAAAGATTTTTTTTTTAAAAATTATACGTTAAAAAATGTAAAGAAATTCGCAAGTTGTCTAACGTGGTACGCATTAAAATTGGCATGTTCTTGGAGTTGTTAGAATCTAAAAACCAAAAAAACTATCATTCAAATTTTTACAAAATTATTTTTTCTAAAAATTTAGAAAACTATTAAATGAAAAAATCAATAAAAAACCAAAAACTACTTCTTTTAGACTTTGAGTGGGAAGAGTTTTTCCAGTTTTTGGAGATTTAAAAATCCAAAAATCTCCAATCAAGATTTTTTTATTTTACTTTTCCTAAAAACCCAGCAAACCATTTTTTCAGGAATAAAAGCCAAAAACTAATTTTTTTAATAGATTTTATAGATTTGTTAGAAATATTTTTATTTCTATTAAAAAATAATTATACAAATTATTTTAAAAACAAAAATATCCATCATTTTAAAAATAATTTCATATTATACCTATGTCTATATGAAGATAATATTCTTACCATTTTTACCATAATTTATATTAAAATTTTTTTTTAGAAAAAACAAAATTTGAGGTATGCTAATTCAAAGTTTCTTATTCAAAATATATATTGTAGTCATCTTATATCTATTGTTGTTTTTATAATCATCTTATATCTATTGTTATTACTAGTATTAATAAATATAATTTTTTTAATAATAAAAACCCTTTTGAAAATTTTTAAATATAAAAATCTAAAACTAAAAACTAAAATATTATTTTTACAATCAAATTTTCTAAAAACTGTAAAAACTACAAAAGTCAAAAACCAAAAACTAAAAACCAAAAACTAAAATAAAAAATCCAAAATAAAAGCCACCCAATTCAAAGCCTTAGTTTTCAAATATTATAGAATCCAAAAATCAAAAACTAAAAATTAAAACCCAAAATCAAAATAAAAGTCATCATAATTCAAACCCTGTACTATATTGTTTTCCGCATGGGTTCGTCTAAACTACAAAATTACTGTAAAAACAAATGTTTCATAATTAAACTATGAATTAATATATATTTATTTTAAAGTGGAGAAATTAGTCAAATGCTCGTGCACTCGAAGATATTTCGAGACGCAAGTGGACTCGCGAGTGGTCTATGACACTGATGACACATTTTAGCAATAAACACAGTTCTATAGATTCCAAATTTTATAATTACAAAACAATTTTCGGCTATCATTTTAAAAAATAATACGGGATGAAGATGAAGACATAGACGAATATCCAATTTATCCGAAAATACGAATTTAACGAATTCGAATCTCAATCTGAATCCAACCCAACTCTAATAGTTTAACCGGTTAAACAAACTTGCAAAATGTTTGGTCTCATCCCCAATTCGAGCTTTAAACGGGAGAGATGAGCATAATTTTAATCACCCGTTTTACTCTTGGTTACGGAATTAGTGTTGATCTCGATCCAAAATACTTGTTACCCAACAAAACGAATTCGTATCCGTTTCGTAAATTTATGAATCCGTTTCATAAATTTTATAAAATACTTGTCACGGGATTAGTATTTTGATTCACGCTCCAGTAACAAATTCTTTTTATCATATATTTGTATAATATATTTTTTTTATTAAAATCTTACAAATTTCAAATAATGATTAAATTATAACTACATACATATATATAAATATATATAAATGAGAATGTATAAACGGTTCGACTCGGTTCGGATTTGGTTATTTCGGATTTTAAAAATTTATAACCAAGTAGTTATTAAATTTAATCGTTTCAGGTTTGGATATTTCATATTTTAAAAATTCATAATCAATTGGTTATTCGGTTCGGTTCGATTAATAACCTAAATATTTTTATTCGATTTGGTTCGGTTAATAACCTAACTAACCAAACCTATACCTACCCTAATTGCAAGTATTACACGGTTAATTTCTCTAATTAATGAGGTTTTTGATTATATGGATTTTTCTTTGAAATAATAATAATAATAATAATAATAATAATAATAATAATAATAATCTTTAAAATAAACATGTATAAGAATGACATGGGCCATTTGATAAATTTGGGACAAACAAATGTCATATAATTCAAAAGTAACTAATGTTTTTTTAAATAATTGGTTTCGAACCCACTTTAATTTGTCCCCCATTTACTTAAAGAGAATTATAAACAATGTGAAAATTTAAAAATAAATTGACTAATCTCAACACAGAATTTTTGAGAAAATGGATTTTTCATGGGGTTAGTAATAATGACATATCACAGCTTATTTAATCACTCACAATCAAATAACTTTCATTATTATCTTCTTCGCATTATTTTGCCTTTTGACTGTGGGATCCAATAAAACTTCGTGGCTTATCGGCTAAACTGTAAAATAACTTTCAACTTAACCCAACTACACAACGACCAACATAAAAACATGTGGATTTACATTTACATTTATTTTGGAATTTCACTTATATATATATATATATATATCTCGATCCGCTACCGCTATGAAATTTTAAAACAACCTTCACAGATAGGGGTGGGCGATCGGGTCGGATCGGATTATTCGGATTCGGTTATTTCGGATTCAGGTTATTCGGATTTGGAATATTCATATCCAATCGGATATATAATCTTAATCGGTTCGGTTCGGATTCGGATCGAGTTTTTTCGGGTTTGGTTCGGGTTTATCCAAACAAATATTAGAAAAAAAAAGTCCATGAATGTTTTACAAAAATTAACAAAAACATCGTTCATAATGTCATTTGTACCGAAAACAACCTAATATTAATAGTCTCGAATCATGAAAAAAATCAAACTAATTGCGTGATCAAACTAATTACGTGATGTACATGTACCAAACCAGAGCAAGAGAATATGGAATGAAGGTATTTTGCAAATGATTTTTCTCTGTATTCCATTAATGTTACATGATTCTCTTTATACAGGTTGTATAGGGTAAAACGTAAAATTCCTATCTGAAAAAGTAAACCAAACAACTAAACAAAGAATAAAATTCTCTCTTCTTGGGCAAAAAAAAAAAGAGTTTGAACTGCCTAACATGCCACGCTTTGCAAAGATCCGATTCAGACGTAAAGATCCAAACTTCATGGGAAAGATGATGAGGAACGAACCTTCTCTGCCACAAGTGGCGAGAATCAAGAAGGGTCATCGTCGTCATCGAAGGCTTTACAGTGCAGATGCAGTCTATGAAGATTCTGGCAAGCCCAGATTAGTCAGAAGCTCTGGGATTAGAGCTTTGAGGATTGGAACAAACGCGAAATGTAATCTTTGGACCACTTACCTTGTCCTTCTACAAGAACCTGCCCACTTTATCAAGAAGAAATGTGAAAACTTGGATCGGTATATGTTGTGACCCCGTTAAGGAAATTTCTTGCCTTTGCTGGACTAGTGTCTCCAGGGCCTGCTTGTTGTTCCCGAATACAGAAACACCGCGAAACAAGCAACAGACGAAGCTTAGCAGAGAATTAACGCAGACGAGGCAGCCGACGACGCAGAAGGCAAAGAGAAGCAGAGACAAAATGAAGCAAATCAGTCACACAAATCAGAGACAAAATGGAGCTAAGAGAAGCAGAAGGTAAAGCTCACATGAACCAGAGAGAAAAAGAAGCTAAGAGAGATAGAAGAAGGCTGAAACCGAAGCTCACACGAACCCCAGAGAAAAAGAAGCGAAGAGCAGGAGAAGAAGGTGATGCTACAGCCTAGAACTGATCACGATGCAGAAAGAACCTATAGAAGAGGGAGAAAAAGAACGAACCTCAGACGAAGAAGCTACCGACGACGCAAACCGGAGGTGCAGAGAGAGAGGCAGTGTCGGCGGAGAAGATCAGGATCATAGAGAGACGGCTCAGCTTAGCAGAGAGTGACGGCTCAATCGACGCAAACCTCAGAAGCGGCGACGGAGGAGACGGTTCAGGCGACAAAGAAGAAGGCTTAGGCGACGGAGGACGCGGATCGAGCTTGAGGAAGAGCTTCGACGGACATGAATCGAAAGTGCAGAGGGTTAAGATTATTAACCCTAACCCTAATTAATTAAACTAAAATTTTAAATTCGGTTTAATCGGATAACCGAAACCGATCGGTTATTTATCCGAACCGAACCGATCCGATCGGTTATAGGATTATGATAACCGATCGGTTATTTTTGCAAAATCCGATCCGAACCGAAACCCGATTAATCGGTTCGATTTTACCCGAACCCGATTAACCCGATCCGATTGCCGAGCCCTATTCACAGAGCAACATGGCCCTTCCAACATATTTTATCCCATCCACAATTTTAGAGTTATGTCGAGATAGTCAACTGAAAAAGATAAGTGCACCATATTGTTACGAGTAGCACAACTAATTCTTTTATATTATCTTAGATTATATAGTCCTATATACCTATATAGCCCTCAGATCTCTTTCATTCTGGTGTGTTCGATCCATCCTTATACCCCTTTGGTCTTAATGGTACTCGAGTGCCACTCCTTGACCGTGTCATCTGCACCGACGATCACTCTCAACCTTCATCATAGTTCAGGATATTACAGGTCTACCAGTTTCTGCATGGTTTATCCTCGAACCACACTGTATTGGAAGAGTACCGGCTCTGATACCATTCTGTAACGACCGTTACGAAATGTCAAAACTGTCCTCACACAACAATACATAATCTTTCAGCGTGTTTTGTCCTTATTCGTACGCATACCGAGACACTTTTCAATAGGTCACCCTTCCTAAAATTGCTCCAAAGTTGGCGCGTTTAATTTTGGAGTTTTCCAGAATAATCAATCGAAAAAGTAGGTACACCTTGTTGGTATGAATAATTCAACTAATTCTTTTATATTATCTTATACCATATAGTCACATATACCTAAATAGCCCTCGGATCTTTCTCATTCCGGTGTATTCGATTCATCGCTGTACCCCTTTGACCTTGGTGGTACTAGGAGAGTCGCTCCTTGACTTGACCGTGTCATCTGCACCGACAAACACTCTCAACCCATTTCATATATCGGGATATCAATTTAAATTAATATAATAAAAAAATCTGAATTTGAAATTCAGATTAAAACAAAAAATATATTTAAAAAATAAGTATGTTTATTAAAAAAATAAATATGAATCCACTCAAATATAATTTGAATAATTCAATATAAAAAAGGAACGATTATAGTTTTTATAATATTTAAAAATTCTAACTAAAAATTTTAATTTTAATTTGTTTTAGAAGAATAAATAAACAACGTCAAAATTGATTCTCCCGTGTCGAATAAATTATCATTTATAGCCATTTTTCTTTGATTTTAAAATTAAAGAAAATATTGTAAAAATATTTATAATAAAATTAAGCTAAAATATTTAAACATGAACAAATATTTATTAACCGTATAAAATAATCCATTCAAATAAATATTTATAGATTTTTAAAATAAAAAATAAAAAATATTTATTAAAATATCATAATTTTAAAATGTAACTGTAATCTGAAATATTTATAAAAATTGACAAAAATACTTGATCTGCATTATTTAATTCAATTCAATCCGAAAAGCGGTAATTAAATCATAACGACCGAATTTGGGAAATACAAATTATAAAAAAATATACATATATGTGAAAAATAGAAATAAAAGTAAAAAACTAATTTAACAACTATTCAAAATTACAATATTATCCTTTATAAAATTTTAAAAATCTGAAGAAAATTCCTATAATTTTTTTGGCCTATTTTAAAACTCTAAAATTATATTTGAAATCTTCTCCAGCATCTTGTTATATGTTATTTTTTTGTTAAATCAGCAACTCTAAGCGAGACATATAAGCACATAGCTCGTTAGAAAATAATCTCATTTTTACTGAAAAAAATATACAAATAATTATAACCAACACTGATGCATTTGCTTAAATTTCTTTTCGTGAAAAAAGGTTAAATGCTAAGATCATGCATTTTTCGCCACTAGACAAAAACCTATGTATACATAAAATTCGTATTTTATAAAATATTTTTGTATCTAAATTATTTTGGTATATCTAGTTCTACAAATATTATTCCATACTAAGACGGTTGAAGCATTATAACAGTGTAATAATAATGGTGTAATCGAGGTATGAACATACATGTAGCATGGATGGTTACATACTCATGTATGCGCATGTATAATTAGAGTATTAATATCACATCGTCAATAGCGAACTTATTTATTATATAGAAGCCTCAATTCCCTGTAATAATGAAGTAATCAGTTACTATAGCTTGTCTTTGTTACAATCGTTATTTACAGCATTTCTATGTCCATAGTTACCGTGAGTTACTGCGTCTCCAAGTTCTTGTTTCGTACGAACAGATTCATCAATCGTTATAGCAGTTTCCGGCACCGAATTTTCATGCAATCGATTAACATTCATCGATGTATCGGTCGGTCCATTAATATTATCATCGTCATGAACAATTGTTAACACGTGATGATGATCAGGACAGTCCTTTGGTACGTCAAGAACGGTGCTTTCGTCGCTTGATATCTCCGGTGAGACCGTTGGCTTGCTCTTGAACCTGGCAGCGGACTGTAGTCGGTGCATGGATTCCGAGATTTTCTCGGTGAGATTAACGATATCCGCAAGCAAAGAAGCTGTCGTGGCGACCGGGACAACTTCTAGCGGCTCGATATCTCTCAAGATTCCGCCTTTGGTACGTCAAGAACGGTGCTTTCGTCGCTTGATATCTCCGGTGAGACCGTTGGCTTGCTCTTGAACCTGGCAGCGGACTGTAGTCGGTGCATGGATTCCGAGATTTTCTCGGTGAGATTAACGATATCCGCAAGCAAAGAAGCTGTCGTGGCGACCGGGACAACTTCTAGCGGCTCGATATCTCTCAAGATTCCGGATTCCCCTAATTAATTAAACTAAAATTTTAAATTCCGGAAGAGGACGGCTTTTTCATTTTCTTGAAGGCAAGCGATAGTTCTTTCAATGCCTTGCCTGATTCAGAACTCATTCTTCTCAATGGCTCTTCTAATCTCTTTTTTGCATCCATTGATACCTATACAGACAAAAGGTGATGAAACAAAGTGTTAGACGGATTTTAATCCTTTTTTTATTTTCTAAAAGAATATTTTCGTTGAGTTCAAAATCCAAATCAAAAGCTCATCAACGGTGCAATCTTCCGAAATAAAACTGTACAAGCATGACAATATATATACCTGGATATCTGCTTTGAGGTATGAATTCAAGGCATCGACCCGATAACCGCACTGTCGGATCAACGTACCAATGGCGAGATATTGTTTCCAAGGATGCCTGAACCTGAAATCCCCGTGACCCGGTTCCCATCTCGCGAAATTCGCCTAAACACACATGAATGAGGTTTGAGCATATATATATATATATGTATATGGTGTAATATATATTTATATATGTATATGTGTATATATAGCGTACCCACCAAAGACTCTTCATTCGATTTTGTGCTTAGGACACTTTTATACCCTTCAAGATTCTCTCTCTTCTTCTCAACGTGTATGGTGTCTCCATTCGCTGCCCCTTGAAAGTATTCGTCCCCAAATTCTGCGAATATTTTTAAAACAACACTTAATTTCACTTGTATATATGAGCAGAAAACATTCAAGAACATGCAAACGCATTTATATGTAATACCTTCTAGAAAATTCCCGACTTTTGCCAAATTGTTGGCGATGAGATTGTGAAGGTCTTGTCCTGCCCAAACAGGACAGATGAAGATGGAGACAAGAACACAAGCAGCTCCTCCCACGCCGACCGTCGACAACCTCTTGTGCGCCAATTCGATAACCTCGTCGTCTCTGAAGCCCGAGACCGATACCAACGCGAACGTGAGTATGAATATCAACAGACCGTAATCGTATCTTGCCTTCACCTTGGGGAAGAACCGTATAAACGTCGATATGGCAGCTGCATGTATATGGAATATAAGGAACGATGATGTGTTTAATGCCATTTGACTAACGTACGTCCAAATGATCATTTGATTAGTTTTGGTTCATGGATTAATTGGTTTAATTATTTGATTAATTACCATGCAAAAAGACAAAGACTGCAAGAAGAATCGGTTCTAGTGTGGGTCCCGAAATGCTTGCAATGTGGTGAGCTCCGACTCCAAGTGCACTGGCAAATAATGTTGCAACTCCTCTGTTCAATCCTTTCCCAAGCGTGGCCCCTACGTACAAATCATCAATATTTACATACATATATATATGCAAAGACCATATATTAGCATACGGTGCAATGGGACCGGCCGAGACCTTAAAATTTATGGACCCTTATTTTAAATAATTAAATATTCATCATATAATATATATTAAATATCTAAATTTTTAATTTGATTTAATTGATATTTTAAATATCAAAATATTGCAAATCGATACCTCAAATATTGAAATATTCTAAATAAATACCTTAACTCATGAAATCGATGGAAATTCTCAACCTCGACTCTGAAGATGATGTATAAATTAGACGTTAATTTTCAACATAAAAAGAAACTCACAAAATCGATAAAAATTTTCAATTTTGACTTTGAAGATGATGTATAAATTAAATATTAGTTCCAACATAAAAAAATGAATCGAAGTTGTAAATTGCTCACTGTGATATCCATTTAAACAATTTAACATTTAAAGTATTAATTAGATCAAATTAAAAATTTAAATATTTATTTATCATATTTCATAGTTGAGATACTATGAGATTTTATTATTATTATTATTATTATTAAAAAATTTATTTTTAAATAATTAAATCAAATATATTATAGTCTATCATTTGTATATTAATTAAATTAAACATATTTCTATCATTTTTAAATATTTTTCAAAATAATATAAATTTAATTTTTTAATTTAAAAATTATTACTTGTTATTATATACAATTGATCCAGATTTTGTATTAAAATTTGTGGGACGGTCCTGCATACATACATACATACATACATACATATACATATGTATAAGTGCATGTATGTATTTGTTATTTTCTATAGGACTCACCGACAGAGAACTCGAAGACGACTACGACGGTCATGACGGCCCACATCGCATTGACGCCGAAGTTGTCGTAGAGAGGTTGGTAATAGTAGAAGGACGAGACCAGAGCGAGAGCAAGTCCCACTTTAAGAGAATGAACGACTCTCCTTGGATCTTCTCTTGCAACTCTCTCTACCTCCCTCGCGATCTCCATAGCCTTCTCTCTCACTCTCTCCATCGATCTTCGTGCTTTTGAGATTAAGATCTTATGAGCCCGGCCGATTTCGATGATGGGTCTGCCAAAAGATCGAAAACCCGGAATTTGAAATGCGAAGTGTGAGAGAGAGAGAGAGAGAGAGAGAGAGAGAGGGAAAGGCTAGGCTTAGCAATTGCATGCAGACGAATAATGGTATTTATAAGGAGCAAGAGAGGGTCATGGAATATACTTGATATCAATAGAAATCTTTTTGGTGTTTTGTCCTCTTGTCGTGTTGTACCATGTAAGTACTTGCGAGCTTTCAAAGGATCCAAAAAAATATAAGAAAAAAAAAGGCAAAGAAAAAAGAAATAAGAGGAAAGTTAATATGTATTATGTAATATATTGTGATACTGTTTAATAGCGACAGATGGTTTTATTTATTTATTGAGCAAATGGTTATAATTGATATTTAAAAAAATTAGATTCTTTAATTTTTTATGTATTTATTTTGATTCAACATAATTAACATTTATAAAATAATAACAATATCAAATTATCCAAATTTGGGTAGTTCAACCGAGTGAAATGGATTCAAAACGTATATCTCGCCACAAGTTTTCAAACTTCAAGTTTAGGGAGAAAACGTATAATCCAAATCATATTACTGACTCTCGATCCCAAAATTAGTCTGGACCTTGGTCCAAGATACCCGATTACAAAAAAAAATAGTAACTAATACTAACCATAAGTAACGTCTTTAAAGAGTTAAATAAAATATACAAAAGCACATGATTATTGAAAATAGAATCCACTTACAATAAATTATTGTAGATCCCAAAATTAATTATAATCAAATATGGAAATTAAAATAAATAATACTTAATTTATTTAAACTGTGTTATTATGTACAAAAGCTTGAGTCGTCTGGCACACCCCACCCCTCACCCCTCTAAGAAGGCTCCACATATACATTAGTATCTTCAATGCAATCTTAATTATATTTTCACATATTTATAAGCCAATAGTTTAATTAACCATATTTATATAGCACATTCATGATTTAAATTCTAAATCCTATTATTTATAGATTAATTATCAATATTAGATCAAAATTTAAATAAATAAATATAGTCCTGCAGAAAGAGAATAGATATACGATGAACGTACGGAAAGCATGCGTATGTATGTATATGTAATGTAAGTAAGCCCCGTCCGTCCGAATATCCCATGTTCTCCGAAACATACAAGTGTATATAGAAGAATGCGGGTATATTTATAAAGAAAATATTTGACTATCACATTTTAATCAAATAATAAATAAATATAAAATTTTGAAAAAGGTATCTAATAAGAAGGCAAAAAGGAATTTGGACAGAATGCGGAAGAAAATATTTGGTGCGTTTTGCCAGAGCTTTGCACCATTCGTACGGTACACCCATTATCATCAAAACAAAACCTACCTTTACGAATAATAATAATAATAATAATAATAATAATAATAATAATAATAATAATAATAATAATAACACAATAATCATAATCGTCAACCATGACTCGTTCCAATAGGACCAGTCCTTTTGATTTTTATTTTGGTTTGTATATAACGAGCACGGTTTCTATGAATTTTAAAAACAGTAATCCAATGATTATAAAATTTATGTCTGGTTGGATTTTTTTATAAGAAATTTTGATATTGGAATTTATTTTTAATCGCATGATCGATAACTACATAATAATCGAATGTATATTTATGGAACAAAACGAATATTTTACAAAAATGTTTTATGGACGCAGTCTAAACATGCGTTGTTAATGAGTATGTCACATTTGAATGAAAAACATAGACTACATCGGTTTTGTTATAGCTATTTATTAAATCAAATTAGCGATCGAGTTATATAATATAGTGCTTTATAAAAAAAAAAAGGAGTTATATAATATAATGAAAACGGAGAGTATGTATACAGTATACCCCATGACTTGAGCAGTTTGTTAAGATTTGAGGGTCTACCACTTGAGAAATTTCCGTACTCGTCTTTGGTTCCATTCGCATTAAATATGGTGAAAGTTAAAATAACTGGTTAAATATATTTTTGTTAATTAAAAGTTGGAAACGTGTATTTTAGTTATTGGTTACGATTTCCTTTTCTTAATTCATTGGTCAAGTGTTCATATATGTATATATATAACCATGATAAGATACATAGATATATGAAAATTTGTCGGAAGATAATTAGTAGAGTGGAAATTCGATCTTATTTAAGTTTTTAATATTTTATATTCAAATCTGTTAGAAATGTAATGATTAAGTAACAAAAAATAGGACAAATTTTCTATATTTTCTTGAAAAAAAGTTAGTTTTTTTTAATCATTGTCGTTGTATATTTTCCTAAAACATAAATTATATGGAAAAATCGAAAATATTTTCCGTACGTACATGTACACACGTCGGACATTTTCGTGAGATTCTGCGGTTGTGTCCGAATGAGAAGACAAAGCAAGTTTTACACGTAGTCTTTCGAAATCGTATATATACCATGTCATTTTCCGACAAAATTAATTAATCATTTTTTTTTGGTTATTGGTTTAGGTATATTGCTTAGTTAAAGATCATTGTGTTATATTTGTACATTACTTTCCATAAATATGTACTTATTGTTAGCGTTTGGATTATGTGTACCGCATTTTATGTAGGGGTGTAAAATGGGCGGGTCGGGCCGGGTTCGGGCCGGGTTCAATTCGGGCCTAGAATTTTTCGGGTCGGACCGGTCCGTATGGGCGGGTCGGGCCGGGTTCGGGCCGGGTTCAATTCGGGCCTAGAATTTTTCGGGTCGGACCGGTCCGTCCATTTATTTTTCGGGTCTAGGATCGATGGCCCGGAGCCCGGCCCTACAGGGCTTCGGGCGGGTTCGGGCCGGGCTTCGGGCTTTTTATTAAATAAAAATATTTTTTTTGCGATAATAATAATAATAATAATAATAATAATAATAATAATAATAATAATAATATGAAACATTCAACAAAAAT